TTTGAGGTGCTGGGCAAGGGTCTAAGTATAGTTGTTGCTTGGTATTCATGGGAGATTGATTCCAGGACCCCTACAGATGCCAAAATCCAGAGACACTCAAGTACATTATATAATATGGTATAGTACTTGCATATAACCTATACCCATCCTCCTGTATACTTTAAATTATCTCTGGTTTAATTGATGTACATGTTATACAAATAGTTGTTATACTGTATTTAAAAATTTTTTTTATTGTTATATTGGGTTTCTCTCCCAAATATTTTTTATTTGTGCTTAGTTGAATCAGCCAATGCCAAACCCACAATATGGAGGGCAGAGAGTAAATTCCCACCAGGCTTGGCTTATCAATTCATTCATTTCACATGCATTTATTCAGACATTAAGGAATATCAAAATGAATCAAAGTACTTGTCCTCAATTTGGTCACAAAATAGATGATAATAAAGCCAAATATGGTAAGGGCATAGCTCACCATCTTGGGGGACAATTCTGCTTAGACAATGTTACTTTATCACTGACATTTGCTGCTCTGTGATTGACTATGATTCCTTGCTTCCTAATGTGGAAATAAGCCTCTTGCAATATACATTTCAGTCAGGCTCCCAGAGAAGTGACCACCATAGAAATGCTCAATTGTCCTAATTATTCTACAGTGAAACCCATCTGTCAACAAATGAAGCCCATGCATGGTCTTTCTCTTACAACATATAAACACACAGCCAGGAATCTCCAAATATTTGGGAAAGCCAACCAACGCAAAAGGAAGAGCACAAAGCGAAGGCAAAAAATAGATATGGAGGAAATACAGAAGATTAAAACAGACAAACAAAACCAAGTAGAGGTAAGAGAGGATATTATATACATAAAACAAGAAATGCCAGGAGCAAGAAGAATAAGCAATAGAGAATAGAGAGGGGGAAAAAAAGGCTCTTGGAAATTAAATATAGCACACCCAAAATAAATTTAACTGAAGGATAGGGAGATAAAGTTGAAGAAAGCTCATAGAAAAAATTTTAAAAATACACAGATAGAAAACAAGAGAGATGGAAGAGGTAGTTTATCTACCCAGGAGGTACAATTTCCATCTAATAAGAATTCCAGGAAGATAAAACAGTGAGTAGGAAATTATCAAAAAGTAGTGGAACTTTTCCCAGAAGTAAAGGAGACACTCTGTGTGCTCAGCACAGTGAAAAAACAAATGCCCACACCAAGAAGCTTCTCATAAAATTTCATAACACCAGGAACAAATGCTTCTGGTAAAAGAAAATAAAGACAAATAGATAAGTAAAACTACCATATAATGGGAAAGGCAAGTCATAAAAATTACAATATAATGAGGTGTCTTTAGGTTGAAGATGATATACTGAGCAATTAAGTTTACCACCTCTTAGTCCTAGCAACGCATCAGGATTGAAAGAAAATCAAGCCGTAAAATTGCTGAGAATAGAAAAGAGAGTGGACATCTGCGTTCTTAAATTGTAGCTACCAATGGATAGAAAGTGGATGGGGTATCACGAAAATGCAGGGAACGAGCCCCATCCCCAGACATACTGTCGAGAGCTCTTTCCTCCAGGTGCCCTCAGAGTCAGCAAGTACAATGGACGAATTTCAGACAAAGAGCAGACGCTGATAGAAATTGTAGAAAAACATCAAGTACCTGCTTTCCTCACCCCTATGAGTGATGGTGGTATTTTCCACCAGGCTTAAACCAGATAAACATCCTCTAGAAAGTTGAACTAGGATTTAGGGTTCCTCTAGTGGTGGTTGAGTTCTCAAAGTAGAGAAAGTCATCCCCATTGGACATTTGGAAGAGAAAGTATATCTGCTTGTTCCTAACCTGGACATGTTTTCATGAAAGCTTTTAGTGATGCCCACCACTGGATATGCCCTACACCCCTAAACACAAATATACACATACACCACACACAGAAATACACACACATTATATAGTCCTTTGACCATATCATGCAAAAAAAGAGGCCAGTAAAGACAGAGAAAATCATGCCAATGACCTAAGTGAATGAATCTAGTGACACAGGATCCTTTTGGTGCTGCTTTGCCAGCCAGAAATCTCCATGGGCAACGGTGCCTCTGCCCAGGCTTTGCTTGGCCTTGGGTTTGACACTGGGCTCACTCTGCCCACTCGGCCTGACAGGCTATGCTTGGCTCATGCCCTGTCCTGGATCCTACACCCACCTCAGGATCTGTGCTCAGCCTGCAGCTGGGTTGGGTGTGCCGTGACCTGCTTCTGCCTTGGCTGCCAGCGTCTGGATGAGGGGAATGAGGTGGCACCCAAAAACTCAGAGATGCCAGTAACCACTGAGCCCTAAAGGGCATTACGGCTCTCTCCTGGGGCGTCTCAAGGTTTGAGCCCCCAAGAAATGTTACAGCTCTCTCTCATCCCCACCTCCTGCATGTGGCAAATGGGGGATGTGTTACAGCTTATTTGTGTTTCATCTCATTCACTCCTGCTGCCTGCAGTGCTGTGAATGGGGGTGTGTGGTACCTAGTGGCTTTTACTCCCCAGTTGCTTGGTGAATGGGAGGGAGGGTTGCAGTGTTACAGCTATTTTTGCTCCAACATTCAGCAGGTTCCTGGTTCTTGTCCTGTGACCAAGAAGAATGAAGTTATGTGGACACCAGAGAGTGAGCAAGGCAGGGAAGAATTTTACTGAGTGACAGAAAAGCTCTTGACAACAAGAGGGGGCCCAAAAGCAGGTAGCCCAATGTGTGACTGAGTCTGGGGTTTTTATGGGCTCAGAATGGGAGAGTGTGTGCTGATAGTCCATGGACAGTCCTGGTAAAAGCACCATTTGATTGGCTAAAAGGCATTGAGGAAGTTCTTACTCCAGTTGTGGACCCTACCAGGAGCTGGTAGCTCAGTTTTCAGGCTTTAAGCTGTTTTTGGCTTGAACGTCGGGTTTCACCAGGGACCCATCCCTGTCTGCTGAGGAATCTGTCTGCCTCCTTTCGCTATCACTAATACCATAAGACATTCAAGGAAAAGCTACTTCACAAAGGAGAAAAATTTAGGGGAACAAAGAAAACAATGAATGCTACATATTAATCTGGGTTTTTAGCTGCAGAGTGGAGTATCTACCTGGGTTTATACATTTATTCAACAAATATTTAAAGGCCTACAATGAACTAGGTACTTTTTGAGGTGTTGGTGGTACAGCAACGAATAGATTGGACATGACACCTTCCTTTCAGTCAAGTGCAATCAGGCCTTCTGGATGAAGAACAGCCAGTGCAGAGGCCCTGAGATGACAGCAGGCTTTGTGTGTTTGAGGAGCAGCAGGGTGACAGTGTTACTTGGGAAGATAGCACAGGGAAGCATAGTAGGAGGTAAGGTGAGGCCACATAAAGCCCTTCAAGAGACTGTCTTTACTATGAAAGAGAGGGGAGCCACTGGAGAGCTTTGAGCAAAGGAGTAGAATGATCTGATTTTACACAGATCACTTTGGCTGTGTGTGGAAAAGACACTAGAGGGTCAAAATGGAAGACAGGAGACCAGTGAGGTGGCTATTGCAATCATCCATACCAGAGATGACAGTGATTTGGTACAGGGTGGTAGTAGTAGAGATGATGAAAAATGGTCAAATTTTAGAGACATTTTAAAGATACAATTGGATTTGCTGGTGGTCTGGCATCAGTTATGAGAGAGGAAGAAAAGTAAAGGATGGCTTCCAAGTTTTTGGCCTCAACAACTAGAAGGATAGAGTAAGATAAATATAAAGATAATTATGAAACTAAGAAAAATAGCTAACACTTTTATAGGACTTACTATGCATGATCAACTGTTTTAAGCACTCAACATATATTCATTAATTTCAACCTGACAATAGTCCTATAAGTTAGCTAGTCTTATTATTAGCATTTTTCAGATGAAAATATCAAGGAACTTACCTGTGGATATATACCCAGTGAGTGGCAGAACTGAGACTCAAACCCAGCAGCCTGGCTTAGTACTCTTAACCACTATTTTCTTTTTTTTAGGAAAGACTATGAGAGGAGCATGTTGAGGGTGGATTTGAAGATCAGGAGTTCGGTTCTAGACAAGTTAAATTTATGACACCTGTATTCATTATCTATTGCTACAAAATAAAACTCAGTGGCTGAAAAACCCCAAACATTTATTATCTCACTGCTTCTGTGAGTTAGATCTTGAGTGCAGTTTAGTTGAGTACCTGTGGCCCAAAGTCTCTCTTGGAGTCACTGGGGCTTGGGCTATGGTCTCATGGGAAGGTTTGACTGAGAGTGAGGGATCTGCTTCCCATCTAACTCACATGGTTTTTGGCAGACATTGGTCCCTCGCCACAGAGGCCTCTCTGCAGGGCTACCTTATGATATGAGAGTTGGCTTTTCTCAGGTTGAGTCATCCAAGAAAGGGCTAGAGAGAGTGAGTGCCCAAGATGAAAGGCACAGTCTTTTTATAACATAATCTTGGAGTGACATTCATCACATCTACCATATTCTATTAATTAGGAGTGAGTTAACATGCCCAGTCAGCCCACAGTCAAGGAAAGAGGATTACACATGGGCACAAATGCCAGGTGGTGGGGTTCACTGCATATCCATGTGGCAAGGTCATATAGGCAGTTGGAAAATATCTGGAATCTGAGGGATAAGTCCAGGCTGGAAAGCCATCATGGGGAATGTATTTATTATTGGATAATCTTTGAAAGGACTGGAGGGGCCGGGCGTGGTGGCTGTAATCCCAGCACTTTGGGAGGCCGAGATGGGCGGATCACAAGGTCAGCAGATCGAGACCATCCTGGCTAACCCAGTGAAACCCCGTCTCTACTAAAAAATACAAAAACTAGCCGGGCAAGGTGGTGGGCGCCTGTAGTCCCAGCTACTCGGGAGGCTGAGGCAGGAGAATGGCGTAAACTCGGGAGGCAGAGCTTGCAGTGAGCTGAGATCCAGCCACTGCACTCCAGCCTGGGCGACAGAGCGAGACTCTGTCTCAAAAAAAAAAAAAAAAAAGGAAGGACTGGAGTAGTCATCTCAGGCTGAGTCTCCAGGAACATCTCCCTGAACCATACTCCAGAACTGGTCTGAGAAGAGATCTGCTGTGGCCCCTGCTGCTATGGACTCCAAAAATGTTGCACCTCTGCCTTCCCCCAGTGCCAGCAAAATAGGCGCCAGGTGTCCTAGCAGGTTCTTCTTGCAACTAACTTTAGAATCAAAGCTCTCAAAAGAGCATATGCTGGTTGGCTGAACCAAAGTCTATATTCTAGTTACAAGGAGATGGAAAATGTAATATTTGTCATGTCTATGATGAGAAGATGAAATTAATATTATGAAAAGGTATCAAAATATGGAGAGAGTGCTCAAAGATTTCAGGCATCTATAAGTGACTTTTCTTCATCACATTCTGGGAGGAACTGAGATAATTTAGGAGAAAATGAAGGCCATAAAACAAATCTAATTAAGAGCCACAAAGATATGGATAGATATCATATCCATCCATTCAAAGTACTAACAAAAAGAAGCAAAAAACAAGAAGTAGGTTGTGAAAATTAAAGATATAAATGCATAAATGAAGAATGTAATACATTGGGTGAAATAAATAGATGAAAAAATCTCCCAGAATACAGAACAACAACAACAAACACCCCAAAGAAATGGAAAATCTGAGGGGAAAAAATAAGAAATATGTAAGATCAGTCCAAGATGGTCCAAATTTAAGACATCCTAGAAAGAGAAAAGAGAGAAAAAAAGCATGAAATGGTTTTTTTAAAATCCCAGAACTAAAGGAAGATATTCAAAAAAGTTTCCTAAGTTCCAAGTTCAATGAGTGAAAAATGACCCACATAGCTATAGTACCATGATATTTTGGAACATGGAGGACAAATATAAAGATGCTGGTTAAACCAATAAAAATAAGCTAACATTTTAATAGGCTTACTATGTGTGATCAGCTGTTTTCAGCACTTGACCTATATTGGTTAATGTCAACCTCACTATAGTCCTACAAGTTAGCTACTCTTATTATTATTATTATCATTTTTCAGATGAAAGTATCAAGGAACTTACCCATAGATACATACCTTGTGAGTGGCAGAACTGAGAATCAAACCAGCAGTCTGGCTTAGTACTCTTAACCACTATTTTCTTTCATTAGTGACAGTGAATTCTAGAAAGCAGTAAAGAAATGCCTTCAAAGTTCTGAAGAAACATAATTTTAAATGGAAAATTACCTAAAATATCAATCAAGTATTAGAGGAATATAATACATTTTCACACATGCAAAAACTCAAATATACAAAAACCCATTTTCAAACATGCATGTGTGACCGTGCATGTTTGTTATATAGGTTATATATGCATGTTTATAGGTTATATATAACATGCGTATGTTATATAAATGTTATATATAACATGCATATGTAGGTTATATGTGCATGTTTGCATATAGGTTATATATACATACATACATATATATAGGTAAGTATATATACTTTCCGAAAAAGTAACTTAAGGATTTAGTGCAACAAAAGGAAAAATAACTTGAAGACAAACAATGGCATGACCTCCAAGATCAGTGAACCAATTAAAGAGTGCAACAAAAAGTAATCCCAGATAACTTCTATGCAAATGGGCATAAGCACTGGCCATCTTGCCCCTATTTTTACACTTCTTTGGTAAGAAACTCAATTCCAGGAGACAGATTTTTCAGTTTGGAGTCTATCTGTATGCTTCCTTTTGTACTGAGACAGATATGATACTATAGTTATGGCCTGGAGATGGGCTGCAGGTAGGATCTGATGTCGTTTCCCAGGGAACTCAGGCAGACACAGCAGGGAGCAAGTGGGGCTGCTTCAGCATAAAAAGCTGCTGAAAAGTTATTGCCCACTGCTATGTGCAACATTCCATGGCTTCAGTTCAAGGATAAAGCCCCGTTCTGACCTCTCAAGTTTCTGCAGCTTTGGGATCCTGGGAGACAGTGCCTTAGGAGTAGACACCAGGACTCTCAGGGCAGGAATGGCACCAACAGGAGTAACACCCCTACCCAAACAGTGTCTTGAGCTTTGAGCATGAACAAAGGGAATCCTGAGCTGAAGACCCTGAGAGGATGACTCTTGCCAAAGTGAAGTGAGAGACCCCAGGGACTCCTAGAAATACTTGGGTGAGGCTTAAAGAGAGGGAGCTAGTGTTTCGGTGATATGCAAATAGACTAATGAGCAGGAGAAATTTGAGTACTTACTGTAAACATATTGTAAACATAAGACCTTATTTGTACTCAGAGGTTGTTGAGGTCTGGGGACACCTGAATTATATTTATCCAGCTTAGCATTGTCATTATCATCATCATTAACATCCTATTCTGCACACACTCAGTATAATAGCAATTGTGCTTTATCTCAACTTCTTTTTGGATGCAAAATGATTTCAGTCTATGTGTCCTTTTTTACCTTTCCCATTCCAGCCTTGCTATTCATTCTGTGGTCCACAGACCAGCAACATCAGCATCACCTGAGAACTTTTTCGAAATGAAAAAGTTTGAGAACATCAAGCCTCACCCTAGGCCCACTGAACCAGAATCTGTAACAAAATCCCCCAGTGACTTATATACACATCAAAGTTTGAGAAGTTAATAACCACTCTTAAGGAGTGGTTATTGACCTGGCCTGGAACTGCTAAATTCCTGGAACTACTAAACTCCAGTGATAAATGTCTGGCTCCTGGAACTCTCAGAATCACCTGGAGACCTGGGTTTACAGTGCTGGAGTCTGGGAGCATGGCACTGGCATCTGGCAAGGGCCTTCATGCTGTGTCATCCCATGGTGGAAGGTGGAGGGGCAAAAGAGGAAAGAGATGAGAACGAGTGGGAGCCAAACTCGCTTTTGTGACAACCCACTCAAGAACTAGGGCATTCCCAATGACAATATTAATCTATTTATGAGAACAGAGCCCTCATGACCTCATTACCTCTCATTAGGTCCCACCTCCCAACATGGTTGCATTGGGGATTAAGTTTCCAGCACATGGACTTTGGGGGACACATTCATGCCATGGCAGCCTCATTACAGATTCAAATATGCATCCTTTCTTCTTTCTACTATAGGCTTGCTCACTTCTGACTCCCTTTTTCTCAACAAATGATTCTTTGGCCATGGTTGACAGGAGTCAGCCATTGAGGAGTTGGGAGATAAGGAGGAATTGAGCTTACTGGATACAATGGATAATGAGGAGGCCAGCCCTAACACTGGCAAAAACACACGTCAAAGAGAAATGAGAGTAATAGGGAGATTATGAAGGACCTTGTTGGCTGGGTAGAAGAGTTCATTTGATGTGGTGGGAGAAATGAATGCCAGTGAAGATTGGAGAGAAGGGAGAAAGGATATGCTGAAAGTTAAGTTGAATTTAGTAAACAATTTGTATTTGAAGATAACGTATTTACCCACTTAAAACCAAGCATTGAAATGATGGTCATTTAGGCATTCTTCTCAGAAAATGACCTACCTAGGTGTTTCTCATACAAATCTGCTCTGAAGCCAGTAATGACATTTAATAAAGTCTTGTTCATTTTGTTCTCTAACCAATTGTGAGACTGCTTAATCCACAGTGCAGAGATTTGTATAGTCAATAACTGCGTTAAAGAGCCTCAGTTACTTACATACGGTGTCTAATTTTGGTGTTAATTATATCCATTAACCCAGACAGAATTGTTTTAAATTTCTGCAAGATGGTTAATGTGCTGATTCCTCTGAGGCCACTAACCACATTTTTCCTTTGGCCACATTCATAATTGGGGCTTAATAAAGCTTCTTAATCTGAATTTAGCCTCAGGATAAATGACCAAGAAGTCTAAAATTCTTCCTCATGTGGAATACTTCACAATATGCTTGAATTCAAACTCAAAATTAACCCTATTGGCGTTTTCCCATTTCTTTAATTTAGAATCTTTAAGATGGAGAGCACCCTTCAATGATTAGGAGAAATACAAGATGGAAATAAAGACTGTATTACTTACAGGTCCTTGGGCGGGACATGGCATGCCTAGACGCCACACACACGGAGGTCAGAGAGCACAGGCAGGGAGAAAAAAAAAGGGACCCATGGGCCAATGCCTTTATTGGGTACTGGGCATTATCCAAACAAGTTTCCTGTGTGGAGTTTTAATTGGTGGGTTTAAACCAAGCAGGCACAAGTTCAGAAGGTCATGCAGTAACTGAGAGGTGATCACTATGGCAGATCTGCACAGTCCCTGTGGGGTGTAAGAGTGAGTGGGGCCAGTCAAGCAGGCTGCATCTAGCTGTCCCATGGGGAAGTGGTCACTAGGGAGCAGTTGTATAAGGCAGGTATCTGGATGGGGCACATTGAGGAACTTGGTAGGGAGTTGGACTGGAAATAGTGTCAAGAATGACTGAGCCCTGCTTCTGGTATGAGAAAGTCTAATGTATTTAAAATGGATGCCAAGGCAACACAAAATACGTAAACTGTATAAACATAAACATAAATTTTGTGGGGTATAGTGAATTAAGCATTCAGTTTACCCAACAAAAAGTTGACTGAAAGAGGGGGCCAGACACAGTGGCTCAGACCTGTAAACCCAGGGCTTTGGGAGGCTGAGGCAGGAGGCTCACATGAGGCCAGGAGTTGGAGACCAGCCTTGGCAACATAGTGAGCCCCCCATCTTTTGGCTGGGCGTGATGGCAGGAGGATCACCTGAACCTAGGAGTTCAAGGTTCCAGTGAGCTATGATCATGCCACTGCACTCTAGCCTGGGCAACAGAGATCCTGCCTCTAAAATAATACTTTTAAAAAAAAAGTTGGCGGAAAGATATACTAAATAAAAGTACAGAGGTTTGTATCCTTCAGATCCTCTTAAAGAAAGATATTTATTATTGGAAGTTAGTAGTTCCAGGAGCTGAGGTCTTCCTCGGCTGAACAAGTCACCCCATCTACCTGGTTAACTGGGCTTGAAACGTCCCTGTATTTCACCCTTTACTTTTAGGGGCACCTACTGTTAATATTCTCAAGGGCACTATCTTACCTCTTATGGTGCATTTCAAAGGATGTGGTTGATTCGTTTGGGTCCAAAAATAGTACAGTCCGATAATCTGATCAGTAGCAAGACATAACATCACAATTGAAGTTGTATTTACTATATTTTGTTGCACACTAGGTCTTAGGGAGATACCAAGCTGGATAACAGTTGATAGAACAAGTTAGAATATAATTTGCCCAAAATGTCTGCAGACGTTTTGGAAGCCTGGGAAATGCAATGAAGAACTCTCGTTCTGTGTGCTCCTGGCCGTGTCATATAGAGGATTACTTGCTCACCAAAATCACCTTAAAAAGATGCAAGAAATCCTTAAATCACTATCCTGTGATGATATCAATCAACATGGTTTTATCACTAATGAGAGTGACAGGCAGTAGCCCGGGCAATGAGTATGCCACAAGTAAACCTAATATCCCCTATCGTAAACACTACAGCCAACTTCATTTGAAAATCTCATTTAGAACACACACTCTTGGCAGGTTTCTTTCTCTTCTAGGACACATAGCTTTTTAAAAAATACAAAAATAGGCCAAGCACAGTGGCTCACGCCTGTAATCCCAACACTTTGGGAGACCAAGGCAGGCGGATCACCTGAGGTCAGGAATTTAAGACCAGCCTGGCCAACAAGGCAAAACCAGGTCGCCACTAAAAAAAAATACAAAAATTACCTGGGTGTGGTGGTTCACTCCTGTAATTCCAGCTACTCAGGAGGCTGAGGCTGGAGAATCACTTGAACCCAGGAGACAGAGGTTACAGCAAGCCGAGATAGCGCCACTGCACTCCAGCCTGGGGGACAGAGCAAGAATCCGTCTCAATAATAATACAAAAATAATACATGTTCATTGCAGACAATTTGAGAAAGAGAAGCATAAAGAGAAAATAAAATAATCTAAAATCTCACTGCAAGATAATGAACATTTCCTTCCAATCTCTTAAAAATGCCTGGTTACATATTACATGTATATTTTGTTCTGTGTTCTTTTATGTGATGGTCAGTCAGATGTGGCTACAAGAGGACACAGGAGAGGCTCAGGAAAACAACAGTTTATTGTATTCACAGATTCTAGAAAGAGGAAGTATGGCACTCCTGCAGGGTCACATGGGGAAGCCACATGGGATGATTAAGGGGCAGAAAGCGGGGGCAAGGGGAAAGTCTCGGCCAGGGCCTTTACAGGGGCTTCCTGGGAAAGGCAGGGCAGGGCAGGCTAAACTGTTTAGAATTGGCTAATTTGAATAATTTTGGTGGGCTCTAAACTATAGGAGTGGTCCCTGGTTGCCCAGTACCTGGCCCTGGGGTGACTAAAGCCGAGGAATACTGTCCTCATGGGCCAGATGAAGCAGGTGTGGCTCTGGAGTGGCTAGTTTGCATATCAAAGGCATGCTCCCAGCTGAGTCCTTTGCTTTCCGGAATAATGGGCTATCGGTAGAGAGTAGTCTGTCTCCAGCTCAGAAGGATTTTTTTTGTTTGAATCCCGTGTTGTTGTTTTTTTAATAGGACAAAAACTTTTTAATCTTTTTTTTTTTTCTCCAAGTAAAGCAATTGGACAGCGTTCCTTCTTTTCTTTTTAAAAAAAATTCCATAGGTTTTTGGGGAACAGGAGGTATTTGGTTACTTTTTTCTTTTTTTTTTTGAGACAAGAGTCTGGCTCTGTCGCCCAGGCTGGAGTGCAGTGGTGAGATCTCGGCTCACTGCAACCTCCGCCTCCTGGGTTTGAGCGATTCTCCTGCCTCAGCCTCCCAAGCAGCTGGCATTACAGGCACCCGTCACTACGCCCGGTTTATTTTTGTATTTTTAGTAGAGAGGGGGTTTCCCCATGTTGGCCAGGCTGGTCTCAAACTCCTGACCTCAGGTGATCCAGCCTCCTCGGCCCCCCAAAGTGCTGGGATTACAGGAGTGAGCCACCGCGCCCAGCTGAGAAAATTCTCAAGTGATGATTTGTGAGATTTTGGTGCACTCATTACTCGACCAGTATCCATTATACCCAATTTGTAGCCTTGTATCCCTCACCCCTTTCCTACCCTTTCCCCCCCGGAGTCCCCACAGTCCATTGTATCATTCTTATGGGTTTTTAAGAAGTCAAAACATCGGCCGGGCGCGGTGGCTCAAGCCTGTAATCCCAGCACTTTGGGAGGCCGAGACGGGTGGATCACGAGGTCAGGAGATCGAGACCATCCTGGCTAACACGGTGAAACCCCATCTCTACTAAAAAATACAAAAAACTAGCCGGGCGAGGTGGCGGGCGCCTGTAGTCCCAGCTACTCGGGAGGCTGAGGCAGGAGAATGGCGTCAACCCGGGAGGTGGAGCTTGCAGTGAGCTGAGATCCGGCCACTGCACTCCAGCCTGGGCGACAGAGCGAGACTCCGTCTCAAAAAAAAAAAAAAAAAAAAAAAAAAGAAGTCAAAACATCATGATATACAGACAATAAAATGTATACAAGTTATATTTTATTGTATCTATTACAATATATTAAAAATAACAACAATGCATATTTCTTTCTTCTGAGCCCCATCCCGACTCTTCCACTTCAAAGTCAGTGTGGGGGCCCTGTGGGAGTCCCTTCTTATTTCTGTCCCCAGAGCATGTCTCAAGCCATCTTAGGGGAAGAGGAAAGCTGGGACTTCCACTGGTCCTCGATGTCCCTCTGTGTTCAGTGGCCTACAGGTGAGGGGCTGCCGTCGTTCACTGAATGTAGGACGGGAGGCCAGCCTCCCCACCGGCCCCTTTGCTGAAGCAGACATACACGGCGCCCCGAAAGAGGATGGAAAGCCCTTGAATCAATCCCCCACGGCTGTCAGGAAGCTGAATCCGGGAGGCGGCAGGAGCGGATCAGCGGCGTCCCTGACTCACTGAACTTGTACCGCACTGCTCTCTCCTGTACTAGGGCTCTGAGGTGCGCAGGCCCCACAGCTGACTCAATTAATCTGAAGTGGGGTGGAGCCATCTGTGTTTCTTTTAGGGATTCAGGTGACTCTAATGTGCGAGTGTGAAACACTGGCTAAGCCCTCAGCGCTGTGCTAGGCGGCCCTCGCTTATACCCTACTTATTCCCACTTCTGCCTTCTCCCCGTGGTGTCCCCAACCTCTTCCTTTCCCTTGGGCACACCACCACTCCTGCAGAAATAGCTCACGACGACGTGCTCAATTCCACGACCTGTGGATTCTCCGTGGCCACTGGCCTCCTTGCAGTTTCTGTTGACGCTATCAGGGGCAGCAGCGAGCGCGGACTCAGTGAAGAAGGCCTCTAGCTTGCGGCTGGGAGTTGAGCTGGAAAGGGTCTGGATAAGGGTGAGTTCTGATGCTTTTTTCTTCAAAATAAGGTCTGAAAGTACATACCTGAGCTTTGTGAGGATTCATTTACTTCTCCCTGAGTTGTATTACAGTTTCTTTGCTTTGACTTAGGAAAATTGATAAACCTATGTGACTTTCTTTGCTTCTCTCTAATCTCTGGGTGGGAGATGGTGGAGGAGTCCACAGCAAACTCGAGTGAATCCGTTACTTCTCTTTCCCACCAAAGGTCTGGAGCTGAATCTAGTCTCTGGTTTTGGCCTATAGACACTGCCCTTTTGATCTGAGGGTGAAAAGGGGATTCAATCTAAGAGTATTTCATTTCCTAAACAATCTGGAAGAGATGTATTCGTTTAAAAATCATTCACTGTTTGAGGAAACACTTTCCACATATATTCTATGCATTCTCTCTCTATATATGCCATGCCTTTTTCACTTCCATTATATTGGGAAATTTTCCCCTATGTCATTAAATGTTTTTGGAAAAGATGATTGTCCATGAGGATACATATTTTGCAAATTTTATGTACCATAGTTTTTTAACCATTTCTCTATTGCTGGACATTTAGTTTGTTCACGATTTTTACTCTTATCAATAACTGCTTTAAATTTTCTCACATATAAATCTTTGGTCCTCTCACATCATTTACCATGAATATTGAGAATGCCATATTTTATCCTTTTGGAGTCCTCTCGGTGTTAAGAACAGAAGTAGTTTCACATGTGATGCTTAATTAAAGCTTGTTAACTTCACTCATGGCCTAGATCAGCTTGCACTGGGGCCCTATAAAACCTGTCTCTTTAATAATTAAGCCATATGAAATCACAAGAGTATGCCAAATCTAGTCAGCATCTATCACGACTATCCACCGTATAAACAGGCATTTCATGTTTCTGTTACATTCAACTTCTGAAATGCCATTAGCAGAAACCATTAAAGCAAACAACGAAAACACAAGTAATAATTTCTTTAAAAAACACTTTGCAATGCCTGCATCATACATATTAATTTAAAGCTGCAGCAACAGAATCTCATATTCAGATGGTGTCCTTTCAAAAGGAAATGTGTAACAAATCCCTAGCAGTACTTAGCTTAATGTACCTTCCTGGTGATTTATATGATGCACATCATTGTGTGCATAAAGTCCAAATTTCATGACACAGACACACACAATTTTATGGATGACAGTAATATTCCAATGAATGATATAAACATCAACTGTTAATTCGCTAAGAGAGATAGAAAGTCAAGGCAAAAGAGACTATGTCCCAAAACTACCTGACTACTGCCTTTAGGCAAAAGATGTTTTGGAAATCAGCTTTTAAAGACTTTAGTTTTACCATTGCCCTGAAGCAAGCTGAACCTAAAATGTTACTATCTGCCCAACCCTGGGCCCAGAGTTGCCCATGGAATACAGGTTGACTTCACCAAGATTCAAGTGAATCCATTACTTCTCATTCCCACAAAACGTCTGGAGCTGAGTTTAGTCTCTGGTTTTGGCCTATTGGCATTGTCATTTTGATCTGAGGGTGAAAAGGGATTCAACCTAAGAGTATCTCATTTCTTAAACAATCTAGAAGAGAGGTATTAGTTTAAAAGTCATTCATTGTTTGAGGAAACACTTTCCACATATTTTCCATGCATTCTCTCTCTCTCTCTCTCTCTCTCTCTCTCTCTCTCTCTCTCTCTGTGTGTGTGTGCGTGTGTATGTGTGTGTGTAGACACTACCTTTTAGAATTTTACTCTGTTATATAACTTTACTTTGCAACTTTTACTTTCCTGAAAGTGCCTGGATAAGTAATGTGTAAAGTGTAAGGCAAAGTTGTTTCTGTTCTATCTTGAGCAGTTCATAAAATAACCTTCAGGGCACCTTCCCTATGATCTGCAGATTGGCTTGGCGTGCACTGCAGAGGTGCCAATCATTCTTTTTCTGCTTACTCCTCTCTGTGAGAGGACTCACAGCACTGGAAGAAGTGGTCCAATCACCATGTGATCTCTGCTCCTTAACCTGGCCACAGCAGATCGAAGCCAGAGCCCAGATGAGTCATTAGATTTTCTGCCCTGAGGAGTTGGAATTGTGACTTAGTGACTGGGTCTGTTAGCTGCACGGGTTTCTCTTTCTTCTGTTTCTCAAATAGCCTCAAGCCCTTCAGCCTCCTGGGCGATGTCTTCCTTGAATATCCAAATAAAATGTCTTAAGTCCTGCGGTGGAGACAAATGCTATGT